CATTCAAACTGCATTGTATTTTAATACATTTACTTGAAATACGTGTTTAACAGTATGTTATCAAGTGTTGCATTCATATGCCATCTTAGATAGCCGAGCCTACTTTGTCGCATTTTTCATGTGTTGCATTAGGCATTGTTGACATAGCTAGGATCATGCATGATTTCTAACTAGTTTTTTGCTTTGGCTCGGAGTACACTGTAAGTGTTTTCGCTTTAGCATCCTTGCATGTGTGTAACTGACTGCCATGACAGCATGCTTGCCATGAGGCTATGCGCTTAAGTGATTAACTGCATGAATGCCTGTGGATGAAGGCTTCATTGCTTGAAACAATTCATCAAAATGTGAGTTTTAAGCCCACTTGAAATAGCAAATCATCATGTTTTAAGCCCACCTTGTTTGGTGGCAAATCTGCATTTTAACCTACTTGCGAGTAGCATCTTCAAACCATTTTCGAAAAACAAACATGAGATGTTTTGTTCCAAATCGAGCGATTTAGTTTATACTTATATGCTGTGCGCATCACATAGTAAGTTAGCTAATAAATCAGAATAAGAACACATGTGTTTTCAAAAACAACATATCATGTTTAGTAGAGGCCAATCCTTTGATCGGGCGAGTGGGGGTGCTCATTTCAGGACCTTCCCCTCTCGTACCCAAGTACCCGAGCTGAGGAAACTTTGATGATGACGGACACGTGGCCTTTGGCACGAGTCAGGGTTTCCTAAATTTCTCAAAACAAAATATTTAGATGGCGACTTTGTAATCTAGCAAAGCAGTCCAGTTTGGCATTTTTTATTCAAAATCTGATTTTCCAAAATGATTTGCTGGATTGAACTCTTTGGTGATTTATCAGTCTTACATTGCAGTTTGTGAGATTAGATTCAGAACCGTGACAGGAGTCTGAACTGTAGTAGCTAAGAACCCAATTCGCGCCCTCTCCGAAAGGGAGGGCGCGCGGAGCGAGTTCAAGGCGGTCTACAGTGCCCTCTTCCAAATATCTAAATAAATTGTTTGTGGTAATTGGGCCAAATGAATCTTGTGTCCTTTTGGGTTGGGTTGTTTTCCTATAACGCTTAATCACAAGCATCCATGGGCCAAATGTTTCATCTTCCTCATGCTCTTATTACGGGTGACTATTAGCCTGCACTGTTTGGTGGTCAGAAGTTCTATTGTCAAAAACGGCTAGATTTTTCTCCGCTAATAGAGCATTAAGGCCTTGAATCTACAAGCTTCCTTTCTATGATCAATGCGCCCACAAAGGAAGCAGAATAAGTGAAGGGACTCATAGTCAACATTGTAAAGTTTACCTTCCAATATGAATTTTGGTTTTAGAGGTTTAAGATTCATTTCTTCACAGAAGGAGCAAACTTTCCTCTCGTAGCCATCGCAGTGGTCCAATCAATTTGAGTGGTTTGTTAATAGCTTTGGCAATCGCAAATAGGACTTTCTCTTGGTAGTATTCAATCAGAAGCTCAGGAAACCGAACCCAAACGGCGATTGTGGTTTCAAAAGCTTCCGATGGTTTAAAATTTGGTTCCCACCTTCTCACAGTCAGATAGTGATCCATAATGATCCATGGAACCCCCGTGAAGGCTTTAGTACAATCTGTCTATTCAGAGAATTTAAAGAGGAAATAGTTACTTCCCAGGTTAAATTCTCCCTGAAGACCCAGATATTTTTTACTCTGGAGCAGAGCATTTTGTAACCAATATTTTTTCCCAACAGTCGAATGATTAGTGCATTTTTCCATGGTTTTCTAATCGTCACCCGAAGCTTCTTAAGTAGAGAGATTTTGGGAAGTCATCGAAGCTCAGGGTAGATGCCTTGGATCTTAGATTGACCCTCTTGAACATCATCGTCTTCCTCATCTGACGAGAGGATTTCCACTCTACTATCGAAAGTATAATCACAATTTCTGACAATGGCCAGAGCTTCTTTGAAAGATTTGGGAGGAGGAAGACCCAAAGCTGGGAGTTGTTGGTCACCAAAATCTTCTTTTGATATTTTCATATCCATATCAGCTACATTATCCACATTAGTTTCCTCATCGAAGTCAGAGCTTTTGATTTTCTTAATGCTTTTGACCATATAGCCTTCTTCTTCGGAAGACTTTCCTTGATTCAGCGGATCTCGGTGATCAACAGGGTTTGATGTGTTATTACTGGTGGTGTTGTCTAAGGAATGATGCATTCTCTATTGTCTCATGTTCTTATCACTAAAATTGAGATTATTGTAAGTTGATGAACAGGCTCGAACAGAAGACCTTACATGGTGTAAAGTTTTGCAAATTAACCTAGACATTGATTGAAATTTTAGCCCAAGGAGTAGAGAATTTCCTGTTCAATAGAGGAAATCTTCACAATCTTGGAACTTTTCCCCTCTAAAACCCTGTTCTTTCATGAACCCTAAAGTTGTCCTGATTATATATAGTTGTCCTTAGCCCAAGGAGTAGAGAATTAACTGTTTGCTTAATTCTTTTTTTTTAAGGTAAATTACACTGAGCACCTTAAAATTTGGTGAAAATACAAGTAGCCTTATAGTTTTAACATAATTATATTAACTTTCTTTTAGTAACGTTAAATTATGGAAATCACTATTCTCACTCTACTTTACTTTAAATATACTCTCTTCTTTATCCTTGTTATATATAGTTAATATTCTTGAATTTTGATTTTTTTTTTAGGGGGTGTATTTTGTGTGAAAGGATATTAATATAATTATGTATAATAATGACAAAAAAAATTATATTTGAAGCAAAGTAGAGTGGAAATAGCGGCTCCTAAAATTTATCGAAACTAATGCAAATAGTGTGAAGAAAAAATAAATGAAAAAAAATATATATTTTATTATAAAAGATATGATAATGTCATTGTCTCGTACATATCATTAATGTATTATTGATGAAAAGGGAGCAAAGTATTATGTGAATTAAAATTTGTAGAAATTTTAACGTAATTACACTAAACTTGTGAAGTTTGTTGTATTTTCTCCAAATTTCATAGAGATCAATGTAATTTACCCCTTTTTTTTATACTTTACTCCTTTTTTTATTTTATTTTTGCGATAATGTTGCTCATTTCTTATAAACCTATAAAATTATTTGAATATTTTGAAATATTTGTAAACTTATAAAATTTCACAAGTGGTGTAACTAAAAATTGATAATTTTCAAAAACAATTTCAAATTAATGATAAATTTTATCAACTTTAATAATTAAAATCATAAATTTTTCTATGAATTTATAAATACTTTGTAAATTTACCACTGATGTGCAATTTTCCTTTGAAAAATTATAGAAACTTATACAAAAAGTCAATTAATTTCTCCAACACAATTTAAGAGCTTTTAGAAGGGGAAAAAAATTTGTTTGGTATGATTTCATACCATCAACATCAAGTAGATTAATACTCTTTATATAGTACAATGTGTTTTAAATATGTAATTAGCAATGATTTTTTAACAAAAGAATGGATTAAATTTTTAAAACCCTTACACAAACCATTAAATTTTGAAGGACAACACTTGTAGGCAATGTCACTTTTTAAAATTTTTGAAGATTTCGAATTGAGTTTTGGGTTTTACACTACAAAATTTTACTTTTAAAATTATATATCAAATGTTTTCATTTTTTTTTTGCATGCCCTCCAAAACCTATTTCAAACATTTTTATAATTTATTCAAAGCTTTTTAAATCATTAATCTAAAAATTAACTACAAAATTTTGTCAAAGAATGTGTTGTATTGGACAAACCAGCCATACTAATCTTAGAATTGAATAATCTTTAAAAGGAAATTGTTTAAATTCACAATTAAAATGATTGCAATCACAAATCTCTTCGTATATTGTATTTTGTCACAACTGTGTTTTGCATTTATTGATAAATAAATCCCAAATAATTTGGTGAGTGAATTAGACTAATGATTTAGCATAAACAAGGTGGGTCATATGATGATATTAACAACCATTTGAGGCTTGTACTTTCTCCATTAGGGGAGAGGGATTTTAAGAAAATGATGCATTGAATGAAGGCCTTTTGAAAGGCCTTTCTTGACTGCAACATCGCAATTGAATTCGCAAAGACCCTCAAGAGGAGGCTCCCATTTGTGATTAGAACCACCTTATGGCACATAAACAGGGGTGGCAACTAGTGGTTCGCTGAGATGTGAGAGGTCATGGAACTCATACCATCCCACGCTTGGGTAGTTTTTTGAATAGTTGCACCAGTGTCCACCGGAGTGCTGTTGAAGATAAACTCAATCATGGCCACATTAGAGATTGAACCTTGGTCGATTTTAAGTCTTAAATTACTTCCAAACCAAATAGCTTTGGTCCAGTCACAATCAAACAGTAGGTGTTCAACTGTCTCTGGATATTTGTTGCAAATAGGGCAAAAATCCGAAGCCACGCATTTCCTTAGATAAAGGTAGACTCTTGTTGCTAAACGATTCTGACAGAATACCAATTATACCAAATCAAATGGCCATATGAATATGAAATATGGAACATCAAAGCAAAACGCAAAAGGAAAAAAAAAAGGATCTTTTATAAGTTGCCAATTTGAAACTTGATTATAAACTGAATACAAAGAAAAAGGGAAAAATAAACCAATGTAAGCCTTAGAAAAAGAAATAGGTCCCCTGTACACAAACAATATGGTAATGCATAAACAAAATATATACATATGTAGGTATTAGTTATATATAATTACCTAGATGAACATATATTGGTACACTGATTCAAGACTCAAGCCATTCCAAAATGATCAACATTCAATGTATCAATGTGAAACTTCAATACCATTTGTCAGAGTGAAAACAAAGAACTGAAATGTGCTTACAGATGACAAATTTTAATTGATAACCCCATTGTATTCAAAATGAGAGAATTCAATAACCACAGTTAAATCATGAGAAGCAGAAGAAAAGGGCAACTGTATGTTGAGTCGACATCAAAGGAAAACATCCTTAGCCAATCCAGTCTCATCAGCAGACCAAATCATAATTGTTTTGCAAGAGCCAACTTTTCCTTGTACAATTTCAATAGCTTGGGAGCTTCTTCCTCATGACAGTTCACAAACTTCTTTAGGAAGCATTTTTCAGGAGATACCAACATATTTGTTAAGCTATTATTGTTGCTCTTAATCAAACCTTTCGATAACAAAATTTCATAAACTGCCCACCACAGAACAGTCCTTTTCTCTAAGCTCAGTGACACCAGTACCGGCTTTCTTGCAATAAGTGAGGACTCCCAACCAATTTTATTGACAAAAAAATCCACCACTCTCATGATCTTGTTCTCAGACACTATAATAAACAAGGGGTGTTTCCCAAAAGCCTCAAGAATCTCATCCCCAGACCAACCCCACTTCTTATAAACCTCAACCTTCTTCCCCCATGTTGATTTACTTATTGACTTCAATAAATGAATTGCTAACACAAAATTCAATTTACAAGGATTAAAACCCATTTTATCTACCTCTTCCACAATCCTTCTAAAGGTAACAACATTCAACATGAAACCTCGAGATCGGCATGTGTTCCTTAACAAATAAAATTTTTCTCATTTGGCATACCCACTTCTCACAGAAATTCAATATTGGGTACACAAGCTTCAGGATCAAACAAAAGAATCCAGGAGCTGCGTTTAATAGCCAATATGGTTTTGTCTTGGGATTGAATCAAATTTCTATAGAAATTGAAAGATGGTAATGTTAGGTTTTTGTAAATGGCAATCCCGTTTGATAAAAATTCTTTCAGTTGTAATTTTATTCACTCTTTTGTTTTAGTGAGGCTATGAGTGCTTAGATGTGAATCCAACCCGAATTGTGCCTTGCAAAGGAGTTTGTAATCTTAATCCCTTCATGTTTGCCACTTCGCTGATTAAGTACGGGGGTCAAACTAACCGGTTAACTCGCAGGGGTCCAAAGGACAGCGCTCCATGGTGGGGTTGAGGGACAGTGCCCGCTAAAGAAAAAAATGTAATCGAAGTTATTTGGCCGCTTGAGCGATCGTTTGTGTGCTCGAGCGGTGAATGATATCATCTAGTACTTTTGCAAAGCGTCCAAACTTCTAAGACCATCGTATATGCGCTCGAGCAGTGGAGTCTTGGCTCAAGTGATGGGCACGCATTTTAATGATTTTGCTCGAGCCATGAAGTGGTCGCTCGGGCAGTCAGCCTATATGTTTCGCACCGCCTTTAGTCACACCGCTCGAGCGGTGAAATGTGCGCTTGAGCAGTCTACACGATTAGTTTACTATAAAGTGCGCAGTTTGCTGTTACTAGGGTTTGAGCCATTCAAATTTTCAAATATGAAGAATAAACAAAGTGTTCAATATTGGAGGGTGCTTTATGAATGTTTCCTTGATGATTTAAGAGTGATCAATGGATTCGTGAACTTCATATCAACATCATCAAGGGTTTGCTTATTTTCTTTTATTTACAAAAGAGAGAGTTGTTCTTTAGTAGATTCCGGAGAACTTGGACCTAAAACTTTAGTGGATTCCAGAGTGGCTCATCATCGTAGATTCGACATCGGCATTGTGGATTCAACATTGGACAAGACAATTCCGAGGTGAAGACGGTGGTAGAAGATGCACATTAGGGTCAATTAAATTTGGGCATGGATTCGCTAGGTAATTGAGAATACACTTGTGTAATTCTTTTTTGTCTTCTTAGTGAATTGTTTTGTGGCTTTGGCCCGTAGTTTTTTTATCACAATTGGAGGCACTCCAATTCTATTTTTTTCACGTTAAATCGTTGTGTTGATTTATCATTGATTGTTTGATTGAGATTGTCATTCATTATTTAAAATTGAAATATAATCACAAATCAATATCTTGAGAGTTTTTAAATTTTTCAATTGATATCAAAGCAAGTCACTCTTTTTTTTTTTTTTCAAATCTATTGAAGTGATTTTTAAATGTAAAATTTAAAATATAATTTTTTTTAATAAGATTTGAATATTAATCTTCATTGTGAGTCACTCTTTTTTTTTTTTTCAAAACTATTGAAGCGATTTTTAAATGTAAAATTTAAAATATAATTTTTTTTAATAAGATTTGAATATTAATCTTCATTGTGAAATTGATAAATTCTAACTTAACCAAACTAATTAGGGAAATACTTTGTGTGCAATGCACACCGTATTACGTAAGTTTTCACGAATTTATGATCTTACAAAAATGTGTAAATTGAACACAAATTCGCCTAAATTCACAAAATCATGTGAATTTATACGAATTTGTGGTCAATTTACACATTTTTGTGAGATTACTTATGTAAGTTCGTAACAAACTTACGTAATTTCATGTTAGGGTTGTATATGGCGTGCATTACACACCGGAGAATTTTTTAACTAGTTATTGTTAGTTTGTTTACAAACATAAAATATGCATCATATTTATTATTATATAAAATTTATAGAATGGAAAAACCAAATTGAACCAAACCAGTTTATATAATCTAATTCTTGTTCAAATGTTTGATTACTGTTCTAATGTTTTTAGAACCATAAGAACCAGTTCAGTTCCTCGTTTACTCTAAAATCTAAAATCAAAACAATCTGATCCATGTACACCCCTAGGGTGCGTTTGTTTGGACAGACTGGATAAGGGGAGATTGTAATCCAAGGGACTATTAGTTCTGGGATACATTGTCCTGGGACTATTTGGTTAGACTAATTTGTATTCTATGTATGTTTAGTCATGGGATTAGATGTCTGGATTAGACTATTTTAGTTATCCAATGTTTGTTTGGGATATTATGGAGAAGGATAAATGCTCAAATGACTATTTTATCATTTTCAATTATTTACTAAGTAATAGTAATATTAAACATAGCTTTAATATTTTAATTATTTTTAGCGAGATTAAATAAAATTTTGTTTTATTTTATTTTTTGCACAATATTTTAATTATTTTAAGGGATTTTTATTGATAAATCTCATTTAGAAGTGTTTTAACCCAAGAAGTCCATGAAGGAATTTTTAACCCATTTAGTCCCATGTATGTATAGTTTTATTCCATAAAGTCCTTTTTTTTTATTTACACTATTTTCTTGAACACTTATGCCCTTATATTTAATTTTGATACCCTTATAAATATTTTTTGAACGGTTAGCAATTTTATGATGTGAACATTCATATTTTAAAATTCACATTCGTAGGAATGTAAAATTGGCCCGTGGGTAGCCCGAAACCCGCCCGCGAGCCGGGGCGGGCCCGACCACGTTGACAATGTGAATATTCACATTGACATGTTAACATTCACATTAATAAGAGTGTAAAATTGGCCCGCGTCCCATAGCGGCGCGAAACCCACCGGCAGCCCGGGGTGGGCCCAATCCGGCCCGTTAACAATGTGAATATTCACATTGACATATTAACATTCACATTGATAAGAGTATAAAATTGGCCCGCGGCCCATGGGCGGCCAAAAGCCCCCTTAGGGCCCGAGGCAGGCCCAGCCCGGCCCGTTGACAATGTGAATATTTACATTGACATGTTAACATTCACATTGATAGGAGTGTAAAATTAGCCCGAGCCCCGTGGCTGCTAGAAACCTGCCCACGGCCCGTGAGCGGGGCGGGCCCGGCCCAGCCTGTTAACAATTTGAATATTTACATTGACATGTTAACATTCACATTAATAAGCGTATAAAATTGGCCAGTGGCCCAAGGCGGGCCCAACTCGGCCCGTTGATAATGTGAACATTCACATTGACATGTTAACATTCACATTGATAAAAGTGTAAAATTGACCGCAGCTCGTGGGCGGCCCGAAGCCCGACCGCAGCCCGACCCGTGACATTGTAAATATTCACATTGACATGTTAACATTAACATTGATAGGAGTGTAAAATTTGCCCGCTGCCCGAAGCTTGGCCGCGCTCGGGGTAGGCCCGGCCTGTTGACAATGTGAATATTCACATTGACATGTTAACATGCACATTGATAGGAATGTAGAATTGGCCCGCGGCCCGTGGGCTGCCCGAAGCCTGTCCACAGCCCCGGGCAGGCTCCTTTGGATCCGAGCCCGAGCCGGTGGGTCGAGCAGATGGGCCTGGGCCTACCCTCAGGCTTGGGTCGGGCTTGGGCGGGCCTGGCCATTTTTTTTAATTCTTTTTAATTTTTTCTACCAAAATTTTATTATTTTTCACAAAAAAAGACACTAGGCCTCGGCGCGGGCCGGGCCTCGGACCGAGCCCTGAATAGGCCTTAACCAGGCCGATGGGCCGGGCCGGGCTTCAAAGTGATGGCCCAGGCCCTAGCCTAGGGTCTCGGACTAGGCTCGAGCCCGGGCCCAAACGAGCCTTTCCCGAGTCGCGGGCGGGCTTCGGGCAGCCTACGTTCTTTTTTACTATTCCATTAAGTCCTATTTGAGGTAAGAAGACCAAAATGTTATTTTCATCTACTTATATTCTATTTAGTCCATATTATTTTCTTATGTTTCAATAAGTCCTATGGGAGACATAACTACCAAAATACCCATAATGTGAATGTTTACATTGTTAATGTGAATGTTCATATCATCAATGCGTAGAGGCCTGAGCCGGCCCATATCGAGCCTCGTGGGTGTCCGAAAAAATCCGGGCCAGCCGGCCCAGCCCAGCCCACGGGCCAAAGAATTAGGCCTAGGCCCTAGCCTTGGCACAAAGGTATTCGGGCTTTAGACGAGCCGATGGATCGAGCCTCGGGTCGGGCCAGTGGGCCTGGGCCAAGCCTCGAGCTTAGGTCGGGCTTGGCGGGCCTGGCCATTTTTTTTTAATTCTGTTTAATTTTTTCTACCAAAATTTTATTATTTTCCACAAAAAAAGACATTGCACCTCGAGCGGACTGGGCCTCGGACCGAGCCTTGAATGGGCCTTAAGCAGGCCGATGGGCCAGGCTTCAAAGTGATGGCCTAGGCCCTGGCCTACGGTCTCGGACATGCTCGGGCCCGGACCCAAACGAGCCCGCCCCAGGCCGTGGGCGGGCTTCGGGCAGCCCACAGGCCGCGGGCCAATTCTACATTCCTATCAATGTGTATGTTAACATGTCAATGTGAATATTCACATTGTCAACGGGCCGGGCCGTGGGCAAGCTTCGGGCAGCGGGCAAATTTTACACTCCTATCAATGTTAATGTTAACATGTCAATGTGAATATTCATATTGTCACGGGTCGGGCCAAGCCCGCCTCGGGCTGCGGTCGGGCTTCGGGCCGTCTAAGGGTTGCAGGCTAATTTTACACTCTTATCAATGTAAATGTTAACATGTCAATGTAAATATTCACATTGTCAACGGGCCGGGTCGGGCCCACCCTGGGCCGTTGACCAATTTTATACTCTTATCAATGTGAATGTTAACATGTCAATGTGAATATTCACACTGTCAACAGGCCGGGACGGGCCCGCCCCGAGCGGCCCACAAGCCGTGAGCGAGTTTCGGGCAGCCACGAAGCGCAGACTAATTTTACACTCCTATCAATGTG